AAAAGAGTGAAAGTAATTATAACTTGATGGATACAATGGAAACTAACATGTAATAGTATACTGTTTTAATCTATATGAATGTTTGTCAATATATATAAACGTATAACAGATGGGTTTTTTGTGGATATTATAGTAATTTCAATGATTGAGATCATAAATCATTTGAAACTAGATCATCATGGAAAACCTAGAATCAGTGAACGAACAGGCGTTTCATTCTATTGTGGGACTTCCAGATTTTCTATGGTGAACTAGCTTCAATTGACTCATGATTCCAATCATTGAAATTACTATGATATCCATAAAAACTATTCTGATATGAATCAACACAGGCTCACTAGGGACTCGCTTCAAGAGGTATTTCCTGGAGTTCTAGTGAGAAGCAATAACCAGTAGAGTTCAACCAGGTTTGTTGTGAGATAGTAACTCACTGATGACAATAGTGGATGTGTCGCTCAATTTCGTGGATTAGTTAAAGTTAGACATTAACACTTTTGAATGCCGGCTTAGTGGACTAGATGTTAAGAGTTTGCGCGCGAGACTGATAGTTGCTGAGTTCGAATCTCGTGAAGCGGGATCGTGGGTGCACAGTGCTGAAGAGTCCTAGGCTTTCAATGTTGGTCTAGCTTCAATTGACTCATTTCATCCAATAAACTTTCCTGAACCTCTTCTGGGCAATTATCAAAATCATCAAAGCGTGTAACAATTAAATCAAATCTATACTCAGTGCTTATTCAATCAGATCCAACTGTCGACTTTAATATGTAGCATGATATAAATCAGTTAGATGTGAATTATATGAGTTCACAATGTGAAGATAAGTGAATGAATGATTGTGTGTGTGTGTGTGTAAGTTATTAATAGATGATATTAGGTGTTAATTTGTTTTTATTAGAAATGAGAACCATTAAAATTCATAATTAATAGAATGGGGTTTTTGAGGAGATTTTAGTAATTTACTAGTTGAATTCATGAATCGATTTAAGCTAAATCAGCAGTGAAAACCTGGAAGCACTGAATGGTTGTTTCATCCTAGTATGAGACTCCTTAACAGTACTCATCCACAATCCCTCACACCTCCGATGCTTCCATGATGCTTTAGCTTGAATCGAATCATGAATTCAATTATTAAAATACATAATTGTAATAATAAACTATTCAAATGAATTTCTGTCAGAATAACGATACATATGAAATAAACAAGGTTGGATAGAGATAGGATCCAATTACTTGTTAATGAACATTTTCCACGTGGTAGCTAGTTGAATACCACTATTTCTATTCAGACTGTTCTTATTAGCTCATATATATATATATATATATATATATATATATATATATATATATATATATATCGTTTCTGTTGTTAATCTTTCTTTGTATGTGCTAAAACCTTTCTGAAGCATTTTGGTCCCTTCGAAATTGATCTTGTGCCCTGTTTCACCAAAATTATGAATAATCTAGTTACTAGCTAATAGGATTAAATGATGAGCACAGCATATTACGAAATAAGAGTTTACTCCATACATAGATAATCTTAGAATACACCAGTTAATAGTTGCAACATCAAATGGATTATGATATAAAGCATAAGATTGATTTCAAATCAAAACCACTTTAATTTCTATCTCAAATATGGTTTGTTAAACACACTGAAACGAGAGCATAGTGTTTTTTCTAGATTTTATACTTTCGATCATTACATCCTATAACTAATTAATGTAACACAGTTTACTTCTAATTTACATACTATGATAGGTTTATACAAATCTCTAATGGTTTTTACATCAAATATGAAGTTTACTTATCATCTAGTTTATACTATCCCAAAAAGTTAATGAACATAAATAGATTCTCAGAAGGGATTGTGTGGAGATTTTAGAAATTTCACTGGTTGAAATCATGAATCCATTAAAGCTAGACCATCACGGAAAACCTGGAAGCACTGGACGGCCATTCCGTCCCAGTATGAGACTCCCCAAAGGTTCCCACTCACGACCCCGCCCCCCGCAGGACGCGAACCCAGGACCTATCAGTCTCGCGCCTGGCGCTTAACCAACCAGACCACTGAGCCGGAACCCAACGGTGTTAGTGTCTAACTTCAACCAATCTACGAAGTTGCGCCTTCTAGTATTAATCATCTGCTCACTAGTTACTGACTTCAAGAGATACTCTTGGAGTTCTAGTGAGAAGCCGTGACCAGTGGAGTTCAAAAAGGTCTGTTGTGAGATATCAGCTCACTGAAGACAATGGTGTACGGTGGCGCAACTTCGTGGATTGGTTGAACTTAGACATTAACACCGTTGGATGCCGGCCGGCTCAGTGGTCTAGTTGGTTAAGCGCCTGGCGCGAGACTGATAGATCCTGGGTTCGAATCTCGCGGGGGTGGGGGTGGGATCGTGGATGCGCACTGCTGAATAGTCCCATACTGGGACGAGACGGTCGTCCAGTGCTTTCAGGTTTTCCATGGTGGTCTAGCTTCAATGGATTCATGATTTCAACCAGTGAAATAAATAGATTCATTTGTTATTAGTTGGAAATTGATCATCAAATGAGAGCTCAAAAGAATATTGAATGAACATTACAAATTCACTTGGTATTGTTTGCTTGTATCTTACCAGTCGCGTTTAGGACTGTAGTTGATCACTCTCATGTTGGCATATGTGCATACTGTACAGATTGCTTTGATATTACCTTAATTCGTAAGCATTATAAGCACAGATGGATAGTGGCTAGTAATTAAATCCAGGACGCATGTCTCGTTCTATTTTTTACTCGTCAGCTGGATGTACTTGTATCTCCGAGGTGATGTTCACTCTGGGACTCGAACCCAGTAGCGTTCGCTTCAAAGGCTATCGCGTTCTTCACTTAGCTACTGAGTCCTGATATTGAAGCGGGCGGTACCGGGTTCGAGTCGCGGAGTGAACATTAACTCGGATGCAGGTACATTCAGTTGACGAGTCCACTGGTAGCTACTATCCATCGTCGCTTAAAGAACATTACAAATGTTGTGAAAAAAATTATGTGGTATATTCACAAGTCCTTTAAAAGTTTTACAATCTTCTCTAATACCATTCATGAATCTGATATGACATTTACTCCATATAATAAACATTTCTAATATAAATTTAGTTCTTCTTACTCACTTTTCTCCTTGTTTTGGTGGTTAACTGGATTATCAAATCCTCCACATCTCGAAGGAAGCACGGAATACAATGGATAACTCGGAACCGATTAGAAGATTTGGACTTCACAGATGACCTAGCTCTTTTATCTAATACATACGAGCAAATGCAGATGAAGATAAATAGTGTAGCAGCAGTCTCTGCCTCAGTAGACCTCAACATACACAAAAGGAAAGAGCGAGATCCTCAACTATAACATAGAGAACACCAACTCAACCACACTTGACGGAGAAGCTCTGGAAGATGTGGAATCTTTCACGTCTCTAAGCAGCAACATATATGAACAAGGAGGATCTGATCTAGATTTGGAGGAACGGATTCTTAAGGTAACGCCGGTATATTACAACTGAACATATGGAACTAAAAACAACTTTTAACCAATATCAATCTCAGAATCTTCAATACGAACGTCAAGGCAGTTCTACTGTGCGGAGCTGAAACTTGGAGAACTACTACAACTATCATCAAGAAATTACAGGTACTATCAGCAACAACGTACAATGCGATAGAACAAAGCGGCTTCTAGATGAAGAAGAAGTTAGGAGACGTTGGAAGTGAATGGGACATACATTACGGAAATCACCAAACTGCATGATGAGGCAAATTCCAACTTGGAATACTGAAGGGAAACGGAAAGAGGAAGGTCAAAGAACACACTACATCGGGAATCGGAAGCAGACATGAGATGGATGAATAACAAATGGAAAGAGCTGGGAAGGACTACCCAGGACAAGGTTGGAAGGAGAGCGCCGGTGGGCGGCCTATGCTTTCCCACGAGCAGTAACAGGCGTAAGTAAGTGATGAAGACTGTATTTTGTAAATTTCATCTCGAATAAGCGGACCTTGATAAAATGGTCTGATAATATACGTTTCAATCATATTCGGTTTGAAGCTAGTAGTCTTTCAATTAGTTTAAGTGTTGGATTTGTTTACGTTAAAATTGTCTTTAAACATTGAGCCCGAATGATTTGGATAATTTAGTAAAGAATACACTTACTCTTGTTCATAACCGAGTGCTATGGCTACCATCAGTATGACTTACATGAAATTGGATTGAAATATTTATTAACGAAATGTTTTATTCAGTTGTGTAAAGGAGAAAAATCTTTTTAGAAATGTCTAACTTCAACCAATCCAGTCCTGAGTTCGAATCTCAAGGGGAAGGATCGTGAATGTGCACTGCAGAGGAGTCCCATAGTAGGATGAAACGGCCATCCAGTAGTTCTAGGTTGATAAATGCTAGATAAGGAAAAACGCACTACCTGAATTCCCCTGCTATCAACAAATTTCTTTATTGAAGTTCAACAAATTAATATTTGAGCTATTCAGTTCACTGTGACTCTTTTGAATATCAATCGTTTTTAATTATTTCATTACCCTTTTATTACAGTTTACTGTCAGATGAATAAGTAATTGAATACATTAATACACCTTTTTTGATCGAGAACATGAATTGATTGATATTAGACCACTATTGAAAACCTGGAAGCACTGGACGGCCGTTTTGTTGTAGTATGAGACTCTTCAACAGTGCGTATCCGCAATCCTACTCACGGGATTCTAACCCAGGGCCTTCGATCTCCTTCTATATAAAAACTCATTTTTAAGTTGTATTTATTACACTTTTCTATTTCAATTCTAATGAATCAACGAATGTAAATAAAAGAAAAATATATTTAAACAAAGATATAAACAATGATTGAATTAAAACAAAGATATTTAATATTGAATAGATTCCAATTATAATGAATTCTGTTGAAAGAAACCTTTTCAATCAAAATGAATTAAATCAATATTACTTATATTAATCATTATGAAGAGAAGAAATGAGTTGGAAATAATTATGAAATAAATAAATAACAAGTAAGTAGTATTGCACTGAATTTGAACTACATCATGAAACAAGCAATAACATGGAATCGTGAAGGAAAACAAATAAGAAGAAGAGGAAGAAGAAGAAGACAGTTGAAGAATATAGAAATCGGAAAAAGACATGAAAAGGATGAATAGTCACTGGAAATAGCTGGAAAGGATTGCCCAGGACAAGGTTGGATGGAGAGTGCTGATGGGCGGACTATACTCCTCCATGAGGAGTAACTGGCATAAGGAAGGTAATAAGTTTCAGTGAAATGAAATCAATTATTTTATTTTCTATTTTATTCTTGTTGAAAGATATTGGTAATACTTTTAAATGGTTCTTTAATATTTCGATTCAATGATTGATGTGTGGTTAACATTTCATTATCATTTTTATAAGGATATACTTGTCTATTAACTAGATTACAATGTTTACGCCAAATACCTAAAAGATCTGGTCTACTATGCATTTGTATATAATTAGATGGTTCACATAAATAAGGATAATTTTTATAAAATGCTGAATAACCCCCATGTAATATATAAACTAATGGATATTTTAATGCAGGATATGAATAAAAATGTAATGTTCTATCATAATTACGTAATAGATAAAATAATTGTGGTGCACGTTTTGTAGAAAATTCACAATATAATATAAATATAGTATGAGATGATTTTGGTTTCATAAATAATTCCATTGAAGATGATAAACTACTTAAATTAATTTCAGTAGTTTTAATAAATTGTTTTCTACCAAAAAAATATTTATAAAGATTTGGCCAATCTGATAAATTAATAGCACTATAAATATGTCCAGCATTATATTCATATGGATAACGACAATCAATAATAATGAAAGGTTTTTGATTCATTTCAAATTTGGGTAAAGTGAGAATTTTTTGTTGATTATGAAGTTTATGTTTACAATGAAAGTTTTGTAAACAACATTTGGATCTTTCGTTATATTCATCCTTCAACTGTACTTTATTAGGTTCAATGAATTCTGAAGATGAAGATGATGAAGAAGAAGAAGAAGGACAAGATGATGAGACGGTGGAAGGAGAATGTGATAATGTACATAGTGACTTTGGAATAATAGATGATTTTCTTAAAATCATTGATTTCATCTCGATTAACCAATTTGCTAGTTGATCTACTTCAATTGATGGCCATGGTGAATGTAAACCATTATTCAATGTGCATAAATCATAATGATCGATTGAATTCTGTTGAGAGAAAAAGTCGATAAAATAAACATTGAATTTTTATTGATTAAAAAGTGTCCGATTTTTTACAATCAGATGGAACTTGCTATTTGAAGTTGTGGGGACGGCCCATAGGTAAACTCAAGGAAGCTATAAGAAGCTTAGAAAGTGCTGAAGATATTCCATCTAATCATCATTCAGAAGAATATTCCAGAATCCTTATGTGTAGCTTCTGTATAGGAAAAATGCTAATAACCCCCTGTATGCATATTTGAGGGGTATAATGATGATTTCGTTTTTACTGGAAACTATAAGTACCTGACATTTTTGTACCATAGTTGATACTGTTTGAAATAGAATTCCTTTCACTTATCTTCTATGTTCTCATTTGCTACTTGGGAGAGTTTTAGCGTTTGAGTGCTCAATTTGTACGCGGTATAATAAGAAACTAAGCTTTTGATATAACGAAAATGACTTTAAGAGAAGAATCAATGATGATGAATCAACGTTTACTTAAACATACACTTAGTATGGATAAACCAACGTTTTGATATTGATATTAAATGTAGTAACCGAATCTGTGTGTAAAGTTATGAAATATTGATTATTTAGTCACCAAGTTACATGCAAGATTTAGGTTGGTTAGTGGTGAATGATGATTACTTTTAATTCTTAGTAGAAAGTAATCTATATCATTACTGATTGGTGAACTGAGCCCTAGCAAAAGAATTTTAACGTCTTAGGTGAGACTTCAGATATTTTATTATTTTAGGATCCCATAGTTCATAACTAAAAGTTTATAACTGTATTCAAGGCATATCCATTTTTTTTTCTTACACTTTCTGCTTTCCTATTGCTTATATACACGTATTATTTTTTCTTATATCATTTTGTTCTGGGAGGTTTGTGTCAAGGAACCATTAAAGATCATGTAATGCTGAAAACTTGTTCAAGTTTAAAACATTTTAACAGTGTACATTAATGAATTTGTCAAATATCATATTCAAGAATTTCACATCAGGAAGGGATCATAAAGTCGAATTTTAATATCCTATATACCTAAATTTAATCAATTCGCACTGTCATTCATATTCTTGTTTAGATAATAATTAGTAAATAGCTTCATGAGGTATTACCTGGAGTTCTAGTGAGAAGCAGTGACCGGTGGAGTTCAACCAGGATTGTTTTGAGATAATAACTCACTAAAGACATTGATGGATGTGTCACTGAATTTCGTGGATTAGTTGAAATTAGAAATGAACACCTTTGGACGCCGTTTGGTTCAGTGGTCTAGAGGTTAAGCGTTAGCGCGCGAAACCAATAGGTTCTGAGTTTAAATATCGAGATGTGGGATCGTGTATGCACACTGTAGAGGAGTCCCATACAGGGACGAAACGGTCATCTCGTGCTTTCAAGTTTTCCATGGTGGTCTAGCTTCGATTGTCTCATTATCTGAACTATTAAATTAGCCTTAATTAATGTATATACTCATGAGTAGTTAAAAAGAATTATTAAAATTAATTCAAATGTATTAAATGTACTTACTGGAAAACACAGATCATTTTCATATTGACTTCCTGGTAAACATTCATGATTATGCATAATTTCATAAGGAATCGACATTCTTCTTGATCTAGGAGATTTGTAATTCTCTTTATCATCAGACTCAGTAACACAAGACAATAAATTCAAATTGTACTCTATTGTGTAATCCAAATATAATTTCCATGTCATATCATGAAACAATTACATAAATATAAAAAATATTTTGTTAGGAAAAAAATATATACATTCACGTTATATAAACAATGGGTTACATGAAGTAATGGTTGTTAGGACTATCGAAATGAAAAAAAAACACAGTCATATTGTAGTCTTCACTTTCCTGCTTTGAAACTTATCACTGTAACTGAGATGAATGAAGATGTCATTCTCATTCAGAAGATCTTCATCGCTCATAATATTCATGTCAGTTTTATTCGATCATTCTTCACAGATTCATTGAGCCCTCTAACTTATGTATTATTATGTTATAATTTTCATAAGTAACACTTTTCCAATCAGGAACAAATAACCTCATGCCAATGAATAAAAAATAGTTTTAAAAAGGATACGGAATTTGTATTACAATATAATTTGGTAAAATTTACTATTCAGTACAGAAGAAATGATGTTTTTAAAACCTACATAGTAACTAAAGTACACTTTATTCAACTATTTTAAGAATTTATTACCACCTGAATAGTCTAATAGTAGTATTTGTTAATATGATTATATCAGTATAGACGTTTTGGAGATTATTAGGTTTTTGATTGAGATCATGAACCGATTGATGTTAGACTATCCAGTTAAACCATCCAGTGCTTCCAAGTTTCCAACAGTGGTCTAACAACAATCGGTTCATGATCTCAATCAAAAACTTAATAATCTCTACAACCCCTATACTGATAATTACCATGTGCTCACTGGTGACTAGCTTCGTGAGGAAACTCTCGGATTTCCAGTGAGGAACCGTGACCAGTGGAGCTAATACGTGTCGGGTAGATACAGATATTTACTTCAGTACAATGGAAGATGGTTGCCCAATTTCGTGGATTGCTTGATGTTAGATATTAACACTGTTGGATGCCGGCTCACTGGTCTGAAGTTTAAGCGTTCGTGCGCGAAACTGAAGGCCCTGAGTCCGAATCCCGCGGGCGGGATCGTAGATGCCCACTTCTGAGGAGTCTCACAATAGGACGAAACGGTCGTCCAGTGCTTCCAGGTTTTCAACGGTGATCTAATGTAGATCGGTTTATGATCTCAATCAAAAATATGATATGTGACACATAAATTCAATACTCTAAGAGAGATTTAATTACAATTCACTGATATCTACTATTTAATAAACTTTCTATCATATTGATTCATTTTGATCTGTTAGCTGGTTGTATATAAGTGCTCATGCGCTAGCTATTTAGATGTAAATCAACCAGTCAGATACGAAGTAAGACCAGGCATATATATGCATCGGTCCAAGTTGCCATACCTCATTAGCACAACAAGACGAACATCGGATTCATAAAAGTAGTTAATTTAACAGTGGTACAATATAAAAAAGTATTTCATATAAGGACATAGTATAGAAAGAAAGATATGAAGCGATTTCAATCTCATAGTTTAAAGGAAGACAGAGAGTGTAAATACCGACTCCATTGTGATCGATTCTGAGCCATGTCACACAGGGTCTCCAACCATTGGTTATGATAGTCACGCAGACCCCAACCAAGTAGTCTGCATTCACCAACATGGCTCAGACCAGAAGTTAATGACTTTGTGGACTGATTTCACGTTTTGGTTTGGCCGCCCCTAACTTTCTTCCAACCGTTCCTATCACTAGTCAGCATTGTGCGTCGTGGTAATCAGTGTTCAGGCATATGTAACACGGGATCCAACCATCTTAGTCGATGAAAATTCACAACCTCATCAACTGATTTACCATCATTCTCTAATACCCTACGTCTAACCTCGCTTTTACTTACCCGGTGATCCCAGCAGATGCAAGCAATATTTCTAAGACATCTGTGGTCAAATACTAGTAGTTTACGAATATCTTCTACTCTTAATGGCCATATTTCTCAGTCGTAAAGTAAAGCAGAACGAATTGCCGCGCAGTATAGAGGGGGAGAAGCGTATCCTAAACATTCTGGTATTATTGCTCAGTACTACCAAAAGACTCTGCATTTTATCAACGTCTTCACTAAACACGACTATATCGTTTGCGTTTTCTAAGTACATAAGTGAACCTCTTGGAAAGAGATCAATGCTCGAGAATTCAGTCGATGAGGACGTTATTTCCATCAGTATGTCTATGATAAAGTTAAACAATAGGTTATGTAATCTCATTGTGAGTAAATATATATACACATTAAAACGTTGATTTCTATACTAATTAACACAATTCCTATAGAAAATCAATTATTCTAACTATTAATCAATACTTATTCCTTATTTATAATATATATGTTTTTCTATCTTCAATTTGATTGTCACTATTAGCTAAGAACGTCTATTAACAAAAATACACTGAGAAGTTGAAAGCACTTTAATACGAATGACCAAGTATATTTTGTTGTGATGGAGTTTGGTTCTCTGTATGAGATGATCAGCACAAAACTTCAGATAGAAGTCACCTGAAGACGTTTACCTGAATGTTGTGCTGATGATGTCATTCAGAAGAACAATGAATGCTCTACGACTAAACTATCCAGTTCAGAGAACAAAACTCCATATAAATTCATCCATCTGAGCTACAAATCTTCTCCACCATCTCAATATTTTATTGAATGAAAATAAGAATTCGATTTGTCTAGTTAAGTATCTATTTGATAGTTTATTAATTTATGAACCGAAATGAACATTACAGTTAACCACTTTAATCAATTGATTAGGAATAGATAACCAACAAACTGGTTTTAATATAATGTGTAATTACTATCATTATTTTACAGTTTCAAAACATACTACTTGTGTATAGAAACAGTAAGTAAACGGTAAGCCGAACTTATTGACAAATATCCAAATTAAACATTAACACCGTTGGATGCTTTCTAGAGGTTAAACGTCCGCTCGCGAGATTCATAGGTCCTGGGTTCTAATCTCATGTAGTGAGGTCGTGGATATGCACGGTTGAGGAGTCCCAGTATGGGACTCCAGGTTTTCTATAATGATCTAGTTTCAATTGACTCATAAATTCAATGATAAAATATCAAAGTACTAAAAATGCCCTGGTTATCAACAAAGTACTTGATACAGTAGAAAACTATTAGTTCCAGTCTTCCAAATACTAATAATTTTCTAATACTTATCACTTAAAGTTTCTGAAGGCTATTACTTCTCAACATTTCTTTTCTCCTAATTACTAATTACATATTTAAAAGCGTTAATAAATACCAGAAATATCTAAAGAGAAAGAATATATTTGTAAAATCTCAGCAAACTTTTCGCTTGGCAATCCGGTCCATAATTTTTCAAAATACTTAGTTCTATCAAAATATCCGAAATATATAGATCCGTTCTTTTATATGTAATTAGACATCTAGTTCTGTACTGGCTGAATAAACAAGTTTCTTAAGTCAATAATCAGCAATAGAACTAGTGTTAACTTCAATACAACCTAAAATTACATTTGTGAATTTCCCTTTCTTACAAGAAAATAATGATTATATTGATAGAATATTGTGGAATATCCTACCTTCATTATCTAAAGACTGATCTAATTGGTTCTTTAAAGATAGTGGCGTTGTTTCAGAAAATGTTTGTTGAATATTTTCAACTGAATTCAATGTCTATACAACGTGATGTAAAAGAAAAAATGTAAGATTAATAGAAATAACCACTTGTAAATGTAATAATAAAACGAGGATAAATTCATTCAAGTACTGATATCTGGAAGTGCATTACTCAGATCCATTTATTATTTAACGATGACCTTCAGGTTCCTCGAGAAGCTTGCTAATTTCAAGTCATTTGAATCTCGCGAGGCTAGGTCGTGGATGCTCACTTCTGAGGAGTTCAACAATAGTACGAAACGGCCATCCAGTGCTTCTAGGTTTTCCATGGTGGTCCAGGTTCAATTGACTCATGATCTCAATCATTGAAATTACTATAATATCCATAAAAACTATTCTGATATGAATCAACACAGGCTCACTAGGGACTCGCTTCAAGAGGTATTTCCTGGAGTTCTAGTGAGAAGCAATGACCAGTGGAGTTCAACCAGGTATGTTGTGAGATAGTAACTCTGATGACAATAGTGGATGTGTCGCTGGATTTCATGCACTAGTTGAAGTTAGACATTAGCACCGTTGGATGCCGGCCAGCTAAGTGTTCGAATCTCGCGAGGCTAGGTCGTGGGTATGCACTGCTGAGGAGCCACACAATAGGACGAAATGGCCATCCAGTGCTGTTAGGTTTTCCATGGTGGTCTAGCTTCAAATGACTTATGATCTCAATCACTAAAATATAACAATTTATATTATCACTAAAACCTAAAATGGCTAATCTCTGTCTTAAATTGCTAAAGTTCTTATATAGGTATCACTTTACACTGATTCATTATTTCAATGATGTCATAGTTGTCGCGAGATCTGAAACCATTAAGTTCATTACTGTGAAGGTTTTGTCTGCTTACTGTTGATGAAACTTAAACTAAGATAAAACAATTGTTGAATGTGCTTTGTAGTTCTCTTTTACTCAAACTATTAGTCTGTAATGACAACTTTCTTTGATTAAATACTGTTCAATAAACTCCTCAATAGAATATACGTACTTTCAGTTATATGTGTCTTCCTTGAAATACTATTTTATTAATGTAACTTAACAATAGACATTCATATTTGTGACCCTCACTTTCTATTCTTAAAGCTTAAACAAATAAACTGCATTAATCGTGTACTTTTTACGCTTATACAAACATTCTTTATTGATTTTTTAGAAATGTGTAAGTCTGGTTTACGATTCCGACAAAGTTCAAGATTGCAAAAGTAATTAAAAGTATAACCCTCGGCTTGGAGTTCCGGGGATTGTTAGCTTTCATTGAAATCATGAACTATTAGTGATAGACCATTACTGTAAACCCCCAAACAGTACACGAGCGTTTCGTCCCAGTATGGGACTCCTCAACAGTGCTCATTCACGATCCTGCACAGAGAATGTGAACCTAGGACTTTAAATCTTGCGCGAACGCTTAGCCTTTAGACCAGTTAGCTAGTATCAAGAGGTGTTGATATTTAATTTCAACCATTCTGCGATATTATGCCACTAAGTTCCATTGTATTTGGTAAGTAATTGACTCATGCTTCACACAGTTTTCCAGTGGTGGTCTAACACTGATCAGCTCATGATTTAAACGAAAAGTATTATCACCAACTAACATGTTATTTAGTAAACATGATAGGTAATGATGAAATGTGGTAATTACCCCACGACTGCTGCTGATACCTGGAAGTAGTGGTCGGGATTGCCTATCGTACTGCACCAATCGAGCTATACTGACTGGAACAATCGTTCCTCAAGGTCCTACCATATCAGACAGGTCTGTTGAACAGCGGTAAAACTAAAAGCAGCAAACTCAAGGTCTGAGGACGAAGTCGTACTGCTAACTGTACAGAGGTGTGACGGCAGTACGGTGTTCGTTTTTTTCAGACAATCAGTATAATAGTGACGCTGCCCTCCCACAAGAAGGGGTGGAGTTAGAAAAGGTTGACCCTAAAAATGTACACATAACCTTATCCCACAGAGATCCGTCTCCGACGGTAAGGTTCCAAACAAGTATGGAGGTAACGCGAAGACTACTGACAAAAAGGTCGTGTGTGACCGACATCACACAGTTGTCCCTTGGGAACTGTGGTCACACTCTCAGATCACCTCTAGAAGAAGCCTTTCACGGTGTGGGCAACCGGTAAGTGATAATCGTCCTCATACCTCTAACAGCACTCAAGATTACCCTATTCACAACAGTACTAAATAATTACACCATTTCTGCTACAACATTTTGCCTACGTATAAGTAGTAGGTCCTGGATTCGAATCTCTCGAGGCTGGATCGTGAATGTACACTACTGAAAAGTCCCACACTACAACGAATTAGCTATTCAGTACTTCCAGGTTTTTCATGGTGATAGTCTAGCTTCAATGGACTCATGATATCAACTATTAAAATCTTTGTTCTAAAACTAACAATTCATATTAATTCTTTACATATTCATAAGAAATTTTATATTTCTACATATTGAATATAAAACTTACTTTTTCTAAACAATATTTATTATTTGTTAATAATTTTGTAGAAGATATTTCTTCTTCTTCAGAAGAATCCATCATGAATAAGTTTAATCCGTTCAAAATTGAATCAATTTTTTGATCGGATCAAAGATATCTGTATATAATGAATAATAGTTTAATAGGATAAAATGTCTGTCTTCTTTTTTTTTTTTCCTTTTTAAGTAATATAAGTAAATATCATAACAATAATGAAGATAAATTGATTAGATCATGTGTGTCAACTATAAGTTTGTGATCTACATATTTTTTAAAAAAATTTAATCAATCTATTAGCTTGATTAATACTTAAGAATATATTATATTAGAGAATAACAGACATATATTTCATTGGTATTTCATTAGTAACTATATGTAATGATGGATGGTGGTTAGTAATGGAATGCAAAAGGTACGTTTCGTCTTAATTAGGAATCGTCAGCTGAATGTATCAGTATCTCATAGTTGATGTTCAATTCATGAATTCAATCCAGTCAGTCAGTCAGTTAGCTACAACGTAGGACCGGGCACATATGTGCATCAGTCCAAGTTGCCATACATTATTAGCACAACAAGATGAACACCGGATTCACAGGAGTGGTTAAGTCAATGGTGATAATATATAAAGGAAAGATTGCATATAAGGATATAGTGCAGGAAAGAAGAATTAGTTCGTAGAAAGATATAAAGCGATTTTAATCTCACAGTTTAAGGTAAGACACCTACACCATTGTGATCGATTCTGAGCCATGTCAACCAGAGTCTGCAACCATTAGTTACGATAGTCACGCGGATCCCAACCAGTATCGTTCTTTACAAACGTCATCACATTATCTAATTAATTAGTGAGTTCAGATAGCCACTAGCTTGTGTAATAGAATGAAGTTTAAATTCATTTTGTATTGTTTATTTGAATCTTCATGTGATTTAAGGTAATATCAAAGTAATCCGCATAGGATGCACATATGCGAATAAGAGACTGATCAATTGAAGTCCTAAACATCAATGAGAAGATTCAAACAGACAATATAAAAGGAATTTACTAGTAACTGGTTGAGAGGTGATATCCTCGCATCTCATTAAACTCTTTATTGGTTAAAATCAGAATCTATAGTAAGAAGATAATTCTTTTAAAGTGGTTAAAACATTAAAATAAATGTAAAAATGAATGGGATATTTAGTAATCCTCAGTGATTCTGCGTACAATCGACTTAATTATCATGATAATTTGCCCTAAAAACACATTAACATCAGAAGGGATTTTTGTGGATATTATAGTAATTTCAATAGCTAGATCATGAGTCAGTTGAAGCTAGATCACCATGGAAAACCTTGAAGCACTAGATGGCCATTTCAGCCTATTGTGGGACTCCAGCAGTGTGAATCCACGATTCGGCCCCACGAGATTCGAACTCAGGACCTATCAGTCTCGCACGCGAACGCTTGACCACTAAACCACTGAGTCAGTATCCAAAAATGTTAATCATTAAAGAGAAAAAATGTATTTGTAAAATCTCAGCAAATGAATTTTAAAATTCATTCGCTGAGATTTTACATTAACTCGGCGCCCAAATATTGTGAAACTATTCGTTCAAATTTAGACGAAAGTTCTTATCAAAAATGTTAATGTCTAACTTCACCTAATCTACGAAATTAAGCGACACATCCACCATATTTAGACCATTGAGTTCGACTAAGAAGAATGGGGACTTCAACATCAGTTAACTAGTGATTTTCATTTTCCTATTATCGAAAATTAACTGAAGTTCAAAATGTTAACCATTGTATGACAAATTATGGAATTGCGTTCGCTGTGGAAACCTGATAACTAACAAATCTAAAGAATGCCATGCATGTATATATACCTTAGGAATATAAATGAATAATTAATTTCATTGTAGACATGATTAAATAACATAATACAGTTATTCGGAAGTGTCTATAGCTAATGAATGAGTTAAGCAAATCCTATCAGATATTTCAGATATTCTATTCTAGTTGCATTCTGTAAATTCTGTAATCATAAAGGCATGGTTACAATTCAGAGTTATTGAGATGGTGGGAAAGATTTGTAGTTCAGATGGGTGGATTTATGTGAAGTTTTGTTCTCTGAGCTGGATCGTGGAGCTTTCATCGTTCTTCTGAACGATATCATCAAGTAGACTTCTTCAGGTGACTTCTACCTGAAGTTTTGCGCTGAAAAGAAGAATCTAAAGTAGTCTGTCACCAAATCATTAAATAAGAGCTGATTAAAGTACTTTCATCATGATAGAGAAATTTGTAAGATAAGTTCGACATGGTGATATTTTTTCACTATGGGATGTCTTCAATTTATGAAGATTTGGAAGTAGCACTAGTTACAACTTATTCGATAGTGAATACTCACACCGGAATCAACCACAGATGTAATTAGTAGTTGTATTTTTCTTAGAGAATTTATTATGTCCAAATTATCAATTTAAAGCTAAATGATAAATATTAGCAGGTTGAATCAATTCACAAGTAGTAAACAGGACATTCAAAATGATTAGATTTCATTGGTCAATGGTTTTTAATCGAATTCCGAAAGTCTATCCTGAGTTACTTATAGCGGGAAAACAGGAATAATATTTCAGTGCTAGGTTTATTGTTTTATGATTGTTAACTCATTTCAGTATTGTCAGAAACATAATTTTGAAATTGTAAACAGAGTTGGATAGTAGCTAGTAGTGGAGTCCAGGATGTATATTTCGTCCTATCTGGTAGTCATCAGCTGGATGTACCTACATTTGAGTTGAACTTCACTCTAGAACTCCAACTCAGTACTATTCCCTTTAAATACCATTGAGTTATCCACATAGCTACTGAGTCCAGATAGCCACTAATTTTTGGAATTGGCATGTACAGAAACAAAAAAGCGACTGATCAATTACAGCCCTAAACACCATTGTGAAGATTCTAACATACAATACATATGAATTTAACTTTACCTCATTGCACAACCTAGTGACTTTCTGAATTCAGTAGCCAGGCGGATTATGCACTGGCATTTGAAGTGTACGTTACTGGGTTCAAGTCTCGAAATGAACATCAACTGTGGGTTGCAAATACATCCAGCTGATGAGTCCTAGGTAGGACAAAAGACGTGTCTTGTATTCCATTGCTAGCCACTATCTATCTCTGTTTACCATGACGCTCAATACCGACTAGTGTTGGGAATGGTTGGAAGAATGTTAGAAGCGGACAAACCGAAATGTGGCATCAGTTCACAAAGTCACTAACTTCTAGTCTTAGTCATGTTGGTAAATGCAGACTAATCGGTTGGGGTCCGCGCGACTATAGTAACCAATGGTTGGAAACTTTGTGTGATATGGCTTAGAATCAATCACAGTGGTGTAGGTGTATACACTCTCTGTCTTCCCGTAAACTATGAGAATAAAATTATTCCATGTCTTTCTTTCTGTACTATATTCTTACATAAAATCTTTCCTTTATATTTTACACCATTAAGTTAACTGCTTCTATGAGTCCGGTGTTCGTCTTGCTATGCTAATGAATTGTGGCAACTTGGACTGATGCAAATATGTGCCTGGTCCTACGTTATAATTGACTGACTGACCGACTGACTAATGGCAGTGTTGAGGCAATTCACACAAGATGCATATATGCTAAAAAAAATACTGGTCAATTACTAATCTTTCACATCAATGGGAAGATTCCAAAAACCGATACAAATCAATTATTACAATATGATTAATTATAAAATGTAATACCTGAAGAAAATCATCGACAATTATGACTGTCTACAATGAAACTTGATATTTATAGGGTATCAAGTACTTATATACATGAATTACAAGGATCATTAATTACCTAAGAACATCAAATAAATATTAAACCATGTTGCAAAAAGTATGTATAATGTTAGATCATTACATTTTCAATCAACAATGCAAAGTGATATCTACAATTGTATGTGATATAATCAATTCAGTTGATTGGAAAATCTCTATGAATTAAACTCTTGATTCTAGTGGTTAAGCGCTCGCGCGCGAGACTGATAGGTCTTGGGTTAGAATCTCACGGGGGGCAGGATCGTGGATGTGCAGTGCTGAGGAACCCCATACTAGGACGAAACGGCCTTTCAGTGCTTCCATGTTTTTCATGGTGGTCTAGCTTCAATTGACTCATGACTTCAACTAGTAAACTCTTACTATCAATATTTCAGAATGTTAACAAACATAAACCGAAGAACAGACTTTAATTTATTCTTTGATTTGATTAGTGAACAACTTATAGATAATAATTAAACTATCATTTTCACTATGGATTACTATTATTTAGACAGCTATTGTAAACCAGAGAAAACTTTTCATTTATTCTGGTTTTAGTAATATTTTTCGAACAGTAAAGTAAATCTAGCTGACGAGTCTGAAGTAGAACGAAACGTGCATCCTGGATTCCACTGATAACCACTATCCACCTTTGCTTAAGGCAGTATCGAGGCAATATTCACAGGATGCACATATGATAATAAGGGACCAATCAGTTGCAGTCCTAAACAATAATGGGAAGATACAAGCAAACAATATCAAGTGAAGTAAGATCTAAGGGTATTAATTTCGACCTAATGTGTTGGTTCATAGTGTGGTATTTACTACTGATATCGACAAATATAAATAGTATATATCATCAATCGAAAGTTGAATAACTTGGCGGCAGAAGTTTAAGAAAATCGAAGAGTTATTGGTATAGAAATGAAGGAACACAAAAGTCCGAGACAATTCATACATAACATACAGCATATAATCTGACTTGAAAAAAATATACTGAATTCGAACTGAATAGTGGTAATTTAAGATGAATAATTTATATACATAATAATTGATTAGTGTAACTTCCCTTAGCAACAACAGTAATAATAATATGAATATCACTTATATAACCTGGTTACATCAAGTTGAATTATAAAGAAAATAGTAAACTGATTATATTGATAAATATTTATTTTATGCTAAAAATTAAAAGAACTATTCAATGTTTCAATTGTGAATTAAACAAACTGGACAGTTATCCACTAA